GGGGGGGGGGCGACATTGTAGCCCTTTTCAGAGGAGAAAACTTTCTCCCCTCTCGTTTTTTTCCCCCCTCTTCTTCTTTCCATCTCTCCCATCCGAGCTGGTCCTCCCTAATCCATCAGTGGCAGCTCTATTCAGCGGCCGCCGGGGCAGGAGCTGGAAGCTCAGCCGCTCACACGCATCCTGGCGCTGCTGCTGCCGCTGCCCGCCGCTCTGTGTCCCCGCAGCTGCCCGCCACCCCGGCCCTCGCCTTTCATCCCGGCCCTTTCCTGTTCATCTGCGCCGCTCCCTTTCAGCCGTGGGGGGCAGGGGGGGACGGCACCAGCCGGGCAGCACCGGTGCCTGGCAGGAAAGTACCTCGGCACATGTCTTTGTGTTTCGGACGGAGAAAAGAGGGAAGAAAGGAAGGTCTCTTCTTCACGTCCTTTTGCATCCTCCAGTCATCGGCCCCTGTCTCCCTGCCTTCATTGTTTGTTTATAGAAGAGACGCGGCAGCATAGAGGTTCATTTCAAGGTGTCTTTTTTCCTGTTGTCATTTTTTTTTCTGAAAAAAAAAAACCCCCACAACAGTGGTGTTTCAGTTGCCTCTCCCTCCTGTCTGACCTATTTATGTTCGCCTTCTTAAAATGCGATCTGTAAACGCCTTTGTTGCATTCAGTGTGCTGGTGCCTAATTAGCTTGGATGCTCATTTCTGTAAAAAGCCAGTGGGTAGGATGAGCCATGCTACAGCGTTAAGACGAACAGGACGATGCTGATCACATATGAACCCTGGCTTAGTAACGGTGGTGAGAAGGTTCACTTGAAAAGTGATCATCAGGTTAAAAGCACAGCAAAGTGGGTGTTAGAAAATTATCGATGCATTCTATCACAAAAAATAGTGTGTAGTGTATTTGCACTAATGTATGGTCAAGAATTGACAGATTTCTTATAGACCTGTAAGGTTCTTATACGTAAATTTATATGTTAATGAATGAGTTTTTCCTTTCAGTTTCTAGGTTAAAATTATGCAGAAGGAAATATATTTTTTCAATTGTTATTGAAAGCAAAAATCAAGCAATAAATGACAGAGAAATTCCACATTATGCAAAGTTAAAGTTCAAATGATCAAATATGCTTGTGAGTATATACATCTGATGCTTCCACATAAACAACTAAATGGTTATATAAAAAAAAAAGTACCAGAACGATAATTATAATTCATTAGTACAATTTACTCATGTGTGAAATACTGATATATATATATATAGTAATTTTGCAGTTTGTGATTAAGAAAAAAAATCTCAGCCAATTAGAAAACTCGGCTGCTGACGGGCGACACCTAATTGGCTATCGCTGTATGTGTGTTCGATCTTGAACTCGGGAATGATGCCACTCTCCACTCCCACCCATTCTCACTGCTTCAATCTACTCCCAGAGAAGCCCTCACCCTCTGACTAGATGTTTTCTCACACACTCTCAAGCCCGATTCCGGATCAGAAGCATTTTTCACCCACTGTTCCGAGACGAAGCTCTCAGCCACCAGTGAAAGCTGCCATCATCTTCCTGATCTACAACTGAGAACGTCGGTGTCACTTTACAGAGAGAATCCTGGCTTCTCTGCATGCCTCCTCAATTGCTTGCTCCTCTACGTTTTGGACCGAGGTCTGGATTGTCTGGATGTAACAGGTAGTTTATCTGGGCAGATATCTGGAAGGGAGAGTCTGGATGTTCAGATGAAAGCAGGCATGGACACAGATGGACCACCATAAAGATAAAAACGCTTAGCAAGAAGGCAAAAATATTATGTTTGCATGTTTCACTATGTGGGCACATATGTATTTTTGAACACATATTATTGTTTTGCAGCTGGTAGGTGGGGAAAACATTGTTCTGGGGACGAACTTTGAGTGACAGGAGAAACACGATTTATGTTCTGTATTTTTCAGCTGTCTAAAGCTAAGCTTCTGATCTGTACAAATTGTGTGTTCATATCCAAGAAATTAAGTAATGTTAAGCAGAAAATTGTTGCTAGTGAAAAAACATGGCAATAGAAAAACTGATTTATTTGCCTTAACATTACAATCTTGTACAATCTCTTAAAGCAATTTTCCAGCCCATCAAAGAGAAGGACGACTTACCTGAAGCGTCTTATGGGAGGGCTTGACGACAGAATCAAGAAGCCTTAAGCAGATGTGGAAACTGGAGGTGACTTGTAAACTACTTCTCCCACAATCCTCTGTTTTAACTCTAGGAGGAAAGGACATTGAAATTTCTCTTACAGCCTTGTTGCTCTCGGCCTGGCCAGACCAGCACAGCTAGGGCCTCAGGCACTAGAGATGAACACCAGCACCTCTAACAGCCCAAGCAGCAGGGACTCTGGCTTCATCACTCCTCTGGGTGGCAGAGCTTCTCAACAGGCCCTGCCCAGAGATGTCAGCTCACTGGGGATGGGGCTTCTTCCTGGACCCGCGGTGAACGCCATGGGGGCTGGAAGGGGGCCACAGAGGCCTGCAAAGCTCCCCAGGGAGCTGAACCCCGAGGAGCAGCAGGAGCTGAGGCGAAGGATCAACAGTAGGGAAAGAAAGCGAATGCAGGATCTGAACATGGCCATGGACGCCCTGAGAGAAGTGATGATGCCATACTCATCGCCTGCTGCCCAAGACCACCCCCACCATAGCCGCAGGCTCTCCAAAATCTCCACCCTCATCCTGGCGCGGAACTACATCCTGCTCCTGGGGTCATCCCTGCAGGAGATGAGAAGGCTGTTAGGTGAGGTGAGTGTGGGAATGGGTGTGGGGGTCGGCAGGGGCGTAGGCCTGGGGGGAGTCACCCCACGGCTTCTCCTGGCGGGGAATTGGCCCTTCCTCACCACCCCCGGTCAGCTTCTCTTCACTTCCGACTCTCTGCTGACCTCCACCAAGAGCTCCGTCCCACTCCAGCCAACAGAGGAACCTACTCTCGCCCAAGCCCAGTGGTCTACAGGAGAGGGACCTGGGGGCCAGCTTTGCTCCTGTGGAGCATGTAAGCTTCCGCACGTCATCCATACCAGCCCTGGAACAAGGTACCCCAAATGACTGAGAAATTCCACTTCCCTTCTGTTTCATCACTGCAGCTACCTGTTCTGGCAGATAAACTTTACCCCATCTAACCAGAATGTACCTGTTATTACTACTACTACTTACTTTTTTAGTATGCCAAGAATAACATGTTATGTTATATCATGTTTTCGTCTAGTTTTCAAGAAGAACCGATGCCCACTTTTAAAGGGATTTCAGGAGACACACATGAATAAGCATAGGTTAACATGATGCATGCATTTACACCTAACACACCTTTATTTAAAAGTAGTTTGCTTAGAGTCTAAAACACTGCACTCATTCCTGCACACGTTAGATCGCTGCCTATTGAATGAACTGTTGTAGAAATAGATCCACAGTTATTTTGTTTTTTACTCTTCATTCATTCTTTAGATCTTAATTAATTTTGAGGCTTTTCTTTATAGGTATTAAAATTGTTTCAAGATGGAAAATGTTTATTTAAAATTTTAACACGGTCAAAGTTAACTGGTTTCGTTTCACTGGTGCTATTGGAAAAAGTGATATAAAATGGTAGTAGATGATACATGTGTTGTGTGCTGCAATCCGTTTCACATTGTTCGCATAGAAATAAATGCTATTTTTGAACAGTCTGGTGTTAAGGATGTTGGCAGTGTTTCCAGCTGATGACTCTGCACTGTGCTTTTCACCATCATGCACTGTGCTTTTCACCATCATACAGTGACAATACGCCCCACTGGCTCAACTTTTGCTTTCGGTGTAGCTGTTCTCTTCCAGACAGCTGTGTGTGGCAGTAATTCAACCTGAGGGCTGGTCTATACAGACTGGGGATATAACTCTATTTTAATGAAAGGCCTAGACTCTTGGGGATCCCAAATAGTGAAACAGTGCCTTTTCATTTTGCATATTACCCCTGATCCCTGCTCCAATCATCCACCAACGTGGACAAGATCAAAACCCACTGACACAATTATTTCCTGACCTAAAATAAGGACCTTTTAAAATGATTTTTCTTCTCTTCTCCTCCATCTTTAATGGAATTCTTGATGCTTTCCTCTGTGTTGGAGGGCTTGTCCGGGCGTTTCAGCGACACACCCTACCTGCACTTCACAATATGTTCAAACACCCAGAAAATGTGTTTCCATCAAAGGGTTGGGGGGGGGGTATGTTTTCACTGCAAAAACTCGAACCTTTTGGAGGAAAAAAAATGCAGGCAGGCTATTTAAACTGCAGATAAGACATGAGAGAGTGAGGCAATCAGCCCCTTGGACAGAATAGACATGAATAATAGCAATAATAATAACAAAATACTCCAAATAATTGCTATCTCGGAATAAGGGGATTACAGCCGCGGATGTGTGAATGGCAAGTGCTGCGTGTAAAGCAGAGAATATGTTGCCCATTGGGGATCACAAAAGGAGAGGTGCGTGCTATTAAGGGAGGGTTCCCTTTAAAAGGCCTAGATTTCCTTACAAGAAACAGGAGGAGGGATGGGAGGGGGGTGTTGGATTCAGACCGCAAGATCAAAGTAGGGGGTACAACAAAAATCCTATTGCTGTCATTTACATATAGCTGTTTTATGTCTCGAAACATCTCAAAGGGATTACCTTTTTAATTTTTATTTATTTTTTCTTCTGTTACCTATCCCCACGCCTCCCCCTCTGACCCCCCTCCCTCCCTCCCTCGCCCGGACTCCCCCGTTCACCCGCCTTTGTATCGGCCATACTTAAACCCCTCTCTCCTCGTCCCCCTCGCTCCAGCGGCCGGTGGCAGCTTTGTTGGCTCCGTGTGGGGGCTCCGCTTGGTCCGGCCGGCAGCCGGCCCTCTCCTCCAACCGCTGGCTCCAGCTCTTGTTTCTTACATCCCGGCCACTCAGTGACTTGGGGGTGACAGCCGTGTCAGATATGATGAAAACACAAATGGCCATAAGAGGAATCAGAGAAGTTATAGCCTGAAAACCCCAACTTCTGGGCACATAATTGACTTAATAACCGATCTTAAAAACCCGTAATATGCACCAATAAAGGGTCGACACCCAGAGTCCTGACAGTCAGGAGCTCAGCTAGAGATTTTGGACCCAATGAAAGCATATGGTATGGAGACCCTGACCCAGATCAATCCAATTATGTTACAAATTTGCTTCAGACTTGTTCTAACTTCCCCCTCTTTACGGTACCCCTGCTGACGGTAATTAAAAATTAACCATTAAATGTGGAAAAGTGTACTTGCTATATACGTCAGTGAGTAATTATATTAATATTTTTTATAATACATATGAAGTTCCCCACCCCACATAAATGAACCATTTAAATGAGCAGTCGCAGTTGCATCCCAGAATGACCATGACCCGGTTTCTTATACCTTTCTGATGACTGAAACTTCCCTGCTTGTGAAACAAACCCCTGTTATCCGCTGGTTCAGCATTGGGGCACCAGCAGGGGGCACCGTCCATGGCAGCCGTTTAGCTCCCTACATTTAGCTTATGCGTTTCCTGAAAGCCACGTACAATCAAGAACACAGGGTCAGCCAGCCCCTCGAGCATTGGGGCGTAAGAGGCTGAAAGAGCCCAACTGTGAAATCAGCCCATCGACCGCTAGATTTGAACCAGCGACCTTCCGATCACTAGCACATCAGCCCAAGCCAGGGGTGCAGTAGGGGCACGGATATTGTTGCAGATTCAGGTGGCCAAACACTTTAAAGGTGTCCTTGAGCATGTTGAATTATATGCAAAATTGAGCAGGGGGGGCCCCAAGGAGACATTTTGACAGGGGTCCAGAATTCTTAGTTCCACCCCTGTCCCATATATCTGAGCCACACCCCCCCCCCCCCCCC